ATATATATATATATATATATATATATATATATATATATATATTATCATTTTGAATGGGGTGATAGAATTATTTTAATACCCCCAAACATGACTAGTCATTGTTCTCGATGAGCATTGGTGTGGACGTAGAGTCATTCTTGAAAGTAGCTTGAAGTGTGGAAGCTCTTGATTATTGTTTTTGCTAGAAATATAGTCTAAGATTGGGTGAATAATGGAAATTCTTGCTGACTAAGATCAACTATAATAGATTGAGCCTAACCAGTGTCACATATAATAGGTCTAGTGTTTAATTATACGCTTAATTAGTCGGACAAAGAAACTATCATGACATATGCATGAAGAAAATGATCATGACTTCATAGGTAGACAACAAAATAACTAAGTAGTACATGTTATGTAGCAAATTTTTAATTTCTATCATTCCTTTCTTTTGCTTTCCTTTTCTTATTTGTTGTCATCTATGTTATCATTTTTTTTCTTTATAATATGCAGCTAATTTCAAAGAAATATTTGAGCATTTGGTGCAAAATGATTTAGTCGGGATGGACCTTCAAACAGATTACATTTGTTGTATATAGCCTTGTGTTCCCACAACCAATAATGGTAAATAATTATGCACAGAATTTTGAGACATAACAATTAAGTAACGTAGAATTCAGATTAGACAGATAAATCATTTAATCTCAACTATGAGTAAGTGAGAAATGAGCCTATTTAACCAAGAAATCTTTTCATGCCATGGAGGCAAGGATAAACTTAAAAAGAAAGCATCACTAAAACAGAAAGTGTAGTTATACTAAAATCCTTCTCAAGGAAATTAAAATTAACTATCTAAGGCAAGAAAAGAAACACTACATGGTTTACTTGGAGCTTGAGATATATATATTTTGATATTTATTTATTTAGTTATTTATGTATTTCTTTATTGCAAAGGGTGACCAACTCACTCTTTCTCTTTTCATTTTTGAGTTATTCATTGTCAAAGTAGTGATGCCCTTTTCAAACTCATTGTTAAAGTAGTGATGTCCTTTTCGAACTCCCGATCCTGAAGCTAGGAATAATTCTATGAATTCTATCTCCCACATTTCAAATAGTTCTACTTTTAAGATGCACCTTATTAGATGACTTGATTGGTAAACTTTTTCTGAACTTTAATTCTAGTGATTGAAAAGCTCTAGTAAATTCATAAAAAACTGTTAAGTGTTTTGTTGACTTACTCCACGTGTTGTCTTCTTCCTGCTCACATTTCCAACTATCTCATTCATCTACTACTCGTTGCTCTATCAACTCATCAACTACTAAGCATTCCTCTTCTACTGTTGAATATTTCATGCTATCATTGATATTAAATTCGACTTTTTTGTCACCTATTCGTATAGACATTAACTAGTGTTCTCCCCGTCTTTAAAAATGGTCTCTCCAAGATAATTGGTACATCGAAGTCCACTTCATAGCCTAAAATAATAAATTTTGCTGAAAATATGAATTTATCCACTTGAATTAAAATATCTTCGATCTTTCCTTTGGGATAAGTGATGGACCTATCGACTAGTCAAATGGTGAATGTAGTTGGTCTAGTATTACCGATCCCTAACTTCTTGTAAATGGATGGAGGCATTAAGCTGATGCTTGCCCCCAAGTCGAATAATGTTCAACCTAACTCCTTTTCTCCAATTGATACGGGAATAGTGAACGAGCTTGGGTCTTCCTCTTTTAGTGGGATCTTGGTTTTTAATATTGCACTCTACTCTTCATTTAGTGCAATCACCTCCAATTCTTCAAACTTCCTTCTATTATTGAGCAGGCCCTTCAATAATTTCACATAATTGGTCATTTGCTTCAACTTCAAGCTAGTGGTATATTTATATGAATTTCCTTGTGAATGTCCATAAACTTCTCAGAATGGGCTTCCTCTTTATTTCTTTTTATTATTATTATTATTTTTTTTTTGTGTGGACAAGAAGGTGTTGGTATGTATGTTCTGCTCTCTTGTTCACTACTGATTGTTGCATACGTTTTAGGAGACTATATTGTTTTTGCATAATTTTTATTTTGCTCCTTAGGTTCAGTAGTTTCGTAATATCTCTATTGTGTATCAATTGCTTCTTGGCAGTGACTGTCGTGTTCTTTAATTTTTTTCTCTCCTACTTGGTATTTTTTTCTCACTTTACAATTCTATTGCTGCACCTTGCCTTCATTTTGTTGGTGTTTAGGTATCTGCTCGCACCTTCCCAAAATGTCTATTTTGTAACCCAATTGCCAATTGACCTACTTTAACTTTCAAATTTCGCAAGGATGGTTGCTGACTCTATATCACATCATTATTTTTGGTCATATATTCATTTATTAGGCTCTCAAGCGATGTTCGAGGTATGTGTTGAGCTTGGCTAGTTCATGTCCTTTGAGTATTGGCTTGAAGATCATATGTCATTTGATTTTCTAGTCCAAAACGTGGAGGATAATTTGTTTTAGGTGGCATTTGTTGATTGTATGGACTTTGTCCCTTCCATTAGAGGTTTGGATAGTTTCTCCACCCTGTGTTATAAGTGTTTAAGAAGATATTATTTTCTGGTTCCCTTAATTAGCTTGATTTCTCACATAAAAAATTGAAGTCTGATTACTTGGACATTGATCAAAAGTGTGTTGTTCTTCATAATATACACTAAATTTAGTTTATAATTTGAGTCATTATAGCAACAGTTTGGACTTGCTTTAGTCATCCAACCTTGTCCCCAACACTAGATTTTGTAGAATATTAGTCACCGATGCTAATTGAGCGTTGATAGACGTCAAAACATCAACTTCAAGTACTCTTCGGGTCTTCTTTCCTGGATTGCTCCTCATATCAGCCCATTGACAATTGTTAGATGTTATTCTTTCTAGAATCTCATTGTACGTCGTTAAAACAATAGCTCCATTGGCTGAAACATTCACTGCTTGTTTAGTAGCAATATTCAATCAATTTTAGAAAGTCTGCATTTTGTACGTCTTTAAGACGATAGCTACATTGGCTAAAACATTCATGGCTTGTTTAGTAGCAATATTCAATCAATTTTAGAAAGTCTCCATTTTGATACAATGGGTAGTCCATGGTGTGGACATTTCATCTCCTTGAATCTCTCCCAAGCTTCACTTACTATTTCATCTTCCAACAAAAAGGTAATTTCATTTTTAAACCATGTGTTTCTAATAAGTGGAAAATACTTGATAGAAAATTTCTCGGCTAGACTATTTCAATAATTAATTGTTCCTGGTGCTAAGATATTCCGATTTTTCGTAAGAGGGCCCGAGCTTTTTCCAGCTGTTCAATGCCCCTCGCGGAGTTCTTCTGAATTTTGAATTGTTTTCAAGATCCTCTGTTTTCGATTATGTAATAAATCCCTTAATGAAAGTAGATTGTCGTTCCATTCATTTCAAAACTTTGACGATCTCTTCCTAAACCAAACATGAATCTTTCAATTTATTTGGCTCGTTCTTTTAGTTTTCATTTCAATCTATCCAAAAAAAAAAAATTATGCTTTCATTCTTTATATTTGAAAATATAACTTTGATTTTGTACTTGAGAAAAAAATTACTCGAGTCGATAACATTGTGTGCATAAGTTATTTTAGTTTTATTTAGAAAATAGTGGAATAGATATTAAACATAACTTAAAAAGAGTTTAAAGTCTACCTACCTATTTTATTCCCATTCTTCACAAATGGTACAAATTGAGTGTAAGAGTTGATTTGTTCAAATAAGATTAAAAATAAAAGTCACTTCTTTATTTATTTAAAGAGTAAGTACACCAAGAGCTCTCATTTGAACAATAAGCAATAATGTAACCATTCCCCATCTTTATTATAATTTTATTTTGAATACATGAGGGAGAAAATTATTTATGTGGTGCTCTTTTTTATTTCTTCATGATATTATTAATATATGTATATTATACCGCTAAACATGTGTTTTTTAGGGTGCATATCCCTCGTGTTTACCTTCACCGTATCCCCCATAGTTTCCTCTACTGTATTCTTCGTATTTACCTTCGCCGTATTCCTCATGCTTACCTTGGTCGTATCCCCCATAGTTTTCTCCATCGTATCCCTCGTGTTTATCTTTGTCGTACTCCTCATGTTTACCAACGTTGTATCCCCCATACTTTCCTCCATCGTATCCCTCGTGTTTATTTTTGTCGTATTCCTCGTGTTTACCTCCACTGTATCCCCCATAGTTTCCTCCATCGTATCCCTCGTGTTTATCTTTGTCGTATTCCTCGTGTTTACTTCCGCCGTATCCCCCATACTTTCCTCCATCGTATCCCTCGTGTTTATCTTTGTCGTATTCCTCGTGTTTACCTCCACTGTATCCCCCATAGTTTCCTCCATCGTATCCCTCGTGTTTATCTTTGTCGTATTCCTCATACTTTCCTCCATCGTATCCCTCGTGTTTATCTTTGTCGTATTCCTCGTGTTTACCTCCATTGTATCCCCCATAGTTTCCTCCATCGTATCCCTCGTGTTTATCTTTTTCGTATTCCTCGTGTTTACCTCCACTGTATCCCCCATACTTTCCTCCATCGTATACCTCGTGTTTATCTTTGTCATATTCCTCGTGTTTACCTCCGCTGTATCCCCCATACTTTCCTCCATCGTATCCATCGTGTTTATCTTTGTTGTATTCCTCGTGTTTACCTCCACTGTATCCCCCATAGTTTCCTCCATCGTATCCCTCGTGTTTATCTTTGTCGTATTCCTCGTGTTTACTTCTGCTGTATCCCCCATAGTTTCCTCCATCGTATCCATCGTGTTTATCTTTGTTGTATTCCTCGTGTTTACCTCCACTGTATCCCCCATAGTTCCCTCCATCATATCCCTCGTGTTTATCTTTGTCGTATTCCTCGTGTTTACTTCCGCCGTATCCCCCATACTTTCCTCCATCGTATCCCTCGTGTTTATCTTTGTCGTATTCCTCGTGTTTACCTCCACTGTATCCCCCATAGTTTCCTCCATCGTATCCCTCGTGTTTATCTTTGTCGTATTCCTCGTGTTTACTTCCGCCGTATCCCCCATACTTTCCTCCATCGTATCCCTCGTGTTTATTTTTGTCGTATTCCTCGTGTTTACCTCCACTGTATCCCCCATAGTTTCCTCCATCGTATCCCTCGTGTTTATCTTTGTCGTATTCCTCGTGTTTACTTCCGCCGTATCCCCCATACTTTCCTCCATCGTATCCCTCGTGTTTATCTTTGTCGTATTCCTCGTGTTTACCTCCACTGTATCCCCCATAGTTTCCTCCATCGTATCCCTCGTGTTTATCTTTGTCGTATTCCTCATGTTTACCTCTGCTGTATCCCCCATACTTTCCTCCATCGTATCCATCGTGTTTATCTTTGTTGTATTCCTCGTGTTTACTTCCGTCGTATCCCCCATAGTTTCCTGCATCGTATCCCTCGTGTTTATCTTTGTCGTATTCCTCGTGTTTACCTCCGTCATATCCCCCATAGTTCCCTCCATTGTATCCCTCGTGTTTATCTTTATCGTATTCCTCGTGTTTACCTCCGTCGTATCCCCCGTAGTTTCCTCCACTATATTCCTCGTGTTTACCTCCGCCGTATCCCCCGTAGTTTCCTCCTTCATATCCCTCATGTTTACCTTTGTCGTATTCCTCGTGTTTACCTCTATCATATTCATCATGCTTACCTCCACCATATCCCCCATAGTTTCCTCCATCGTACCCCTCGTGTTTACCTCTGCCGTATTCCTCATGCTTACCTCCGTCATATCCCCTATAGTTTCCTCTATCGTATCCCTCGTGTTTATCTTTGTCGTATTCCTCGTGTTTACCTCTACTATATTCCTCGTGCTTACCTCCGTCGTATCCCCCATAGTTTCCTCCGTCGTATCCTTCATGTTTACCTTTGTCGTATTCCTCGTGTTTACCTCTGTCGTATTCCTCATGCCTACCTCCACCAAATCCCCCATAGTTTCCTCCATCGTATCCCCCGTATTTATCTTTGTCGTATTCCTCGTGTTTACCTCTGTCGTATTCCTCATACTTACCTCCGCCGTATCCCCCATAGTTTCCTCCATTGTATCCCTCGTGTTTATCTTTGTCGTATTCCTCGTGTTTACCGAAGCCGTATCCCCCATAGTTTCCTCCATCGTATCCCTTGTGTTTACCCCCACCGTATTCTTCGTGTTTACCTCCGCCGTATCCCCCATAATTTTCTCCATCGTATCCTTCGTGTCTACCTCCGCTGTATCCCCCGTAGTTTCCACTATCATATCTCTCGTGTTTTCCCCCGTCATATCCCCCGTACTTTCCTCCATTGTATTCCCCGTATTTTCCTCCATATGCACCATCTTTTCCATATCCATTGCCATAATTTTCAACACCATATTCTCCTACGGAAGCATAGCTACTATAACCATGACCACTTGAAGAACCATATCCTTCATAAGAACTTGACAAACGTCTCGCTGCAGAACAAATTCCTATTCCGAAGAACAGGAAGAATACAAGAGAAGAAAGTTTATGAGAAGCCATTTGCATATGTATGTGAATGCTTTAAGTGAAGAGGTATATATATAAGGAGAGCATGGGGCCTAAATATAACTACCTCACTCAATACACGCAAGAGGCAGAAAATGGGTTTGGCTCAAAATCTACGTTTAGGGCTACCGATGCTATACACATGATTTTGCACCTCACCTTCTCCGTAGCTCTCATTTACTTCATATTACAAAATCACTGTGATATTCTAAGTTATATGAACAATACCAAATTTCTTTTCTAAACCATTTTCTTCAAATCAAAGCATAATTTAGTCATTCAAATCTGCATGCATCTACCCATTTGCTTCATATTTCTAATTTTTATTTCTTTTTACCCATTTTAGTTAATCAATCATCCCAAGTTATATTATTCGTATGTATATATCAATGTCTAATTTAACATTTTTTTGTGTTGATATGTCAATGTCTATGCTAAGTCTTTTAAAACACTCAATAATCCTTTAAACTCAATCTTTTTCCTTTTTTTTTTTTTTTTTTTTTTTTTTTTTTTTTTTTTTTTTTTTTTTTTTTTTTTTTTTTT